TTTTTTCCCAACTGCTGACACTATACCAATAAATTGGCTAAATGTGACCATATCAAACTATGGACCACTAGTCTTACTGTGGCAAAACTCTGGGGCTCATTCTGGCTTCTGCAAAAAGTCATGTTAACTGTCTCCTTTTTCCTCTTTACATTTGGGAATATATATCCCCCTACTCCCCACGGTTGTTTGTTATAATATGTATTCTTTTAAAAAAAGATTGTTTTATTATCTATCCACTGCGCAATAAAAGTGATGTGGAATGTACCAGGCTTTTCCTGCTTTTTATGCAATAAGCTTTTTCTAAGATAAATAAACAGGCAACATGAATATGGGAGGTGGGAAACACAGATAAGGAGGGTATTTTCAGGGGCTATGATGCAGATGAATTCAATTAACTCTGGGTGTAAAAGACCATCTTAAGACTACTGATGGAGGCTGTTATACAAGAAAGCCAAACAGAACCAAAAAATGAAAAATGCTCCTGTCACCACATCAGAGGGCAAGGCCCGCTGCACTCTCTCTTGCATGTGGGGAAGTCAAAGTAATTTTTTCTCATGCTTTCCTTCCTGGCCTTCAAAGAGCTCCTGTGACTACTTCAACCTCCACTGCCCACATCTTCCTGCTAAGCCTTGACCCATCTGGCTTTCTGTGGCTTTTTGTTTCTGACAATCACATAAGCTTTTATAATCTCCTATATTACTTTTGAGCTTGTTAAACCACTGTTAGCTCCTAGATTTCTCCTCAACTATCTGCTGCCTTTCCTCACCATTCTCCGCCAACATGCACAACACCAGCCAAAACTATTCTAACTAGTCTATGAACACTTTTCTCCACCTTTTTCCTTTGAAAATTCCGAGACATAATTTTTCAACAAAAAGTTGAAAGATTAGTGCAATGAGCAAACACATGCATCCTCCACAATGACTGTTAAATATTTTGCCACGTTTTAATTCTTTCTCTCTCCATATGTGTGTGTGTGTGTACATACACACAACGAATTTAGCAAAATTTTATGTAATTTTTTGGCAGAACTATTTGAAGGTTAAGTCATAGATGTAATGGCACTTCATCCCTAAATACCTGACTAGGACATTCTCCTAAGTAAGTTAAGAAAGTTTCACACCTAATAAAACTAACCATGATTCAGTATCATCCGATATCCAGTCCATATTGATATTTCCCAAAGTGTCCTCAAATTTTCTTTTATAGCTTTATTTTTCCAACCCAAAACCCAATTAAGATTTGCCCATTGCATTCAATTGTTATATCTTTTACCCCACTCTTTTTAATGACACTGACCTTCTGAAGAATTTAGGCCAGTTTTCTTATGTCCCACATTAAGGGCTGGATCTGATTCTACCCTCAGGGTCATTTTACTTGTTCCTCTATCCCTGTATGTCCTATAAACTGGAAGTTGGGTCAAAAGGCTTGATTATATTTAAGTTGAGCATCTTTGGCAAGGTTCCTTCATAGGTAATGTTGTTACTTCACGTTGCATCAAACCAAGAGGCCTCTAAAGTCAGGTTACTCTACCATTAGTGGTGTTAAGTGTGAGCACTAGGCTAAGTTGGTGACTGCTGAATTTCTTCATTGTAAGGTATATTTTCCCCTTTATAATTATTAATATATGGAGTGATACTCTGACACTGTGCGAACATCCTCCTTTTCGCTACCTCCTTTTCCAAGATGGATTTTAGCTTCTCTTGATGACCTTTGCCTGAATTATTGGGGACTGCACAAGGTAATTTTTCCAATTCCATAATTCCATCTATGTTTATCGGCTGGCATTCATTTATAAAGAAAAAAAATCCCTTCCCCAACCCTTGATTTTGAGTATCACTCTGGACTTATGGATTTTTAAAATGTATTTAATGATTTGACAATCTATCACAGTAATTATTCTTTTTGGTGCCGTGATTGACTCATATTTAGCCAGTGGAGTCCCCTCAAGCTGGGTTATGTGAACTTTTGACTTGATCCTGTTAGTTTTGGGGCACTTCCTTGTTTTCTGGCAAGATGTTCCAGGCTCACCTTTGTACTATTGTACTTTCTGGGTCTAAGACCCAAAAGCAACCATTTCCCCCAAGAAATACTGTTTTTTTTTTGTGGAGAATTGCATTTAAATATCAAGATATGGGCACCCTCCACTGGGTAACATTACTTCTAAGATATATGTGTATATATATATTTATTTTCCAAAATTCAAATTTAACATCAGAGAGCTTTTCCCTAAAACCTTCTTTTCTAAATTTTTTCTTTCCTCTTATTAGAGTTTTAACTAACAAAATTTATTAATAATTCACTTTATCTAGAGTAGACATAAAATTTTAAAATTACATTACTAATAGTACTATTAGAAATAAATCTGTGATGTTTGAGATTTTTTGTTTTTGTTCTTTCTGCCCTCAGTATACATCTCACTAAGAATGTAGGAGTACTATTAAACACCACTTTCAAACAGATCTAAAGAACTTTGATGACTCTGCCATTTCTGATCCTTGTAGAGCCTAGATTATCATTTTTTCAAACTAATCCTTTTTTCTTTTTTTAGTGGTACACGTGAAACATACAATAGCTGAAAATGTGCATCCTAAGACTAGAAAGGCAATGCAGATTTCAGTGAACAAATCAGGATTGCTATGACTGGTGAGCACCTGCATTGGTCAGCATTCATTTAAGGTTGTTTTTCCATCAAACTTAAGTGGATGATATAACCTAAGAGTCATCTCAGGGTATATTTTCAAGGTACTGTACCCCAAAACACTCAATAGGCAGAAAAAGCCAGTAGCTTGCCCTGCATCAAATCTCCATGCAAACATTCAGAACACCTATTATGACTAAAAAGGTCAAAAGGCATAGATAGTTATTTTGACTATGTACACATCTCTAATTCATTACCTTAGGCATTTGTACAGATAGCAAAAAAGGTAGGCAAATCTGGGGCTACTTTTAGTCAAGAAGGAATACAGTAAAAGCTAAGCTAAAGAATGCAATCTCCCATTTAACCAACATGTACTAGTTTATTCTATACTTTTATGCTCTGCAGTGAGTTGGTACATTTCCAAAGGCAGTGGCTATACTTTAATTATCTTTAGTAGTGAAAGGAAATAGCTGCATATATGACAATGTGGAGTCTTTAAATTTTATGTACTTACTGAGTTCAATAAAATAAATACCAGCTTTAAAGAACTAGAGGTTTTAGATACTGTTCTTTTTGAAGATAAACTCGATTAAATTTGAGTGAGAATATTTTAAGATTTTGACACTTCAAAGGAAGTGGTAAGTCAGAACGCCTATTTGAAGGAACACTCTTAGTCAAAGCTTGTACTTGCTCCAGCTTTGTCTTTAAAAGCACACAGAATCACAGTGAAAAATAAATGAATACATGTAGTGTTTATAATGGTGTCTGGTACACACAACTTTTATCTCTTTGTGAGAACTAATAATATTCAGTATAACTTTTCTTTCCAAATATAATCTATGTTGCACACAGGGAGAGATTAAAAGCAATCCTGAAAACAAAAGCTATCAGAAAACTATACTGAAGCTTAAAAATATTTTCCTATTTTCTGATCTTGGGGGTTCATTAAGAGTTCTTATTTGAGAAATTTTTAAACAGCTGTAAAGTTTACTTTATATTCATGGAAGATCCTCCTGGCATTAGTTCTTAAAATACACAATTGAAATAAGAGTTGTCAAATACTACATTGTGTTTTTAATAGATTTCTACTATATTAAAGAAAAGTACATCCTCTCTGGTTTGTCTTCCCTCTTAATTCTAGCTACACACTGCTGCCCTCTGCAGCATTTTCCATTCTTGCAAGCTGACTGCCACTCTTAATCATCACAAACCCACCTTAGAGGAGGGCTTTCTGAAGGGTCCAGCTACAGACCCCAATCCTCCAGGGAATGTTCTTTCCTGGCATTCACATAGCCTCTTCGTGTCTCAGGCCTTTATCTTTTTTTTTAACTAGTTTTTTTTAATTGGAAAAAATATATACGTATGGTTAAAAGGATAAAAACGATTATTAGTGAAAACATGTGGCTTCCACTCCAAATCTCTACATAGATTCGTGCATCCGTCCATAAATGGTATATATTATTACAAACATACACACAACACGCATTTCTTTTTAAACATAAGTGGATGTATTCACACCACTGTTTATCATTCACGATTGTAACTTGGAGATTGTCCCCTTTCAGGCGGTATTAACCTATATAACTTAATTAAAACCAGTAAGTGCTAACAAAATAGGTTTTTCTTTTCTTTTTCACGGTACGCATGGCCTTTATTGTTTGCTACAGGAAGTGGAAGAGGCGGGGATGCGACAGCTCCGGCTCCTGGGGCGACTCCACACATTGGGTCATCGCCCTCGAAAAGTCCAATTAATCTACTCTCGAATAGGTTCTGCCACAATCTAATCAGCTTTTTGTTGCCACTAAGACTTTTATTATTCTGTGAATCGGTGGTTCTCAAACTTGACCAGACATTGGTATCACCTACAAGCCTTGTTCAAACAGGTTGCTGAGGCCATCCTCAGAGTTTCTGACTCAAAGGTGTGAGGTGGGTGTTGAGAAACCGTATTTATAGTAAATTATTTTTGCAATAAATTACAAATTACTGTAAAAAAAAAAAAATACCACGCAAGGCTGATGCTACCGGGACCACACTCAGAGAACCAACCGGTAGTATGAATGCTGTATTAAACCCCGTTCCTCCCACCACCCAGCACCCTGGGAACCTCAATAAGTGCCCAACGGCACCGAGCCCTGAAGTAACTACCCAACTGACCCCCACTCCGAGCCGGAACTAAGATAAAACGAACCTACATCCGGCGCCTGGCGCATACCAGTACGTCATTTCCTTCCTACGAAACCCCGCCCACTTTACTTCCCTAAGGTGATTAAGGGCCGGCGGCCTAGAGGGAGGTGGGAATCACGTGAGTCGAGCGACGTCTTGCGAGGATTTTTAACCTCTCGCGAGACTTCACCCGCCTCCTCTATTCCTCCTTCCAGTGCCCGGCTTTAGTCCTCTCCCGCTCGCCGCTGAGCGAGATATTCTTTTCCAGACCAAGTCGCCTAGTTGTCGCCGCGGAGCTTTTGCTTGCTGCTGCCGCTGTCGCAACCACCACTGGGCTGCTTTGCCGCGACCCCGTCCCGCCGGCACGCCCCCAGCCCCACACAAGGTAACAAACGCGATGAGGGAGAGAGTAAGGCCTCGCCGGGCTTCGGCCTCCCCCTAGTTGAAGCGGAGGCCTGAGGCCGAGGAGCGGGCCGCGCTGGAGAGGCCCGGGCGCCGGCCGGAGTGTCAGGAGCGCCGGCCTCCTCTTCCACCCAGAGTTGAGCCCTGAGCGGCCTCGGACGGGGTTGGGCTAGCCGCGGGAACCCAGCGGGTGGGGTTGGCGTTTTAAGGACGCTCCGGGCCCTTCCGAGCCTGTTTGCGGGTGGGGCTCCGGCTCCGGGGGCCTCCGCTGGGTTCGTGTTTTCGGTTTCCCTGGAAGCTGTTTGAATTTCGAGGTCTGAAATGGTCGAGCAAGTTGTGGCGGACTTTGAGGTGTTGAGTGACCGAGGGGGAGCAGCCTGGCTTGCTCTAACCCTTTTGGAGTCCTTCCAGGCTGTGGTTGGACGGGGATTGTAAAACAGACGGGTCCTCGGAAAACCCGTATGTTTGCTAATAAAGCGAGAAAGAATTCTCTCCTATCTTACTTTCGGGAGAAGAATGAGCCAGATTTGGTGAAAGCCACGTTCCTTAGATTGCCTAAATAGGAGAGTATCAGTGCTGTTTCTTTCATTGCAGAAAATGCATCGTCAGTATTTAAGTGACTGGGTTTTTGCTCTGGATAAGAGTTTCTAAACGCATTCATACTAATTGAATAGCTCTTGTGGAGAGCTATTTGTGTAGTTAATCCAAAATCAGTTGGAATTGGTTTTGGAAGTATTTTTTAGTGCTTAAAAATCAGAAGCCTCAACACTTTCAACAGTTTAGTGCCCTTTTTTTTTTTTTTTTTTTTTGTGACAATGTAACAATCCTATTAATTGAGCTTAACACAGTGCCTTCCCTGTTACAGGACTTTAAAGAAAATTAGAAGTTCTTCTTTTTCCTCTTACCTCTTGCTTTCTGTTCCTATATGGAATTTGTCTGACATGTTTATAATCATCAGAATACTTGAAGTTTGTGTTTGGCTCACAGCTTTTTTCTGAATTGAAAGTAAAGGTAGTAGTGATAAATTACGCTGCAGTGAATTATAATAATGAGTTGGGAGCAAAATTGGTTAGGGTTGATTCAGGCAGACAGGGAAAATTACTTTTTATGGTTTGTTTTTTTTTGTTCCGTTTTCATGACCTTACTCTTTTTATTTTCTTCAGATGTCAGAGGATCTAGCAAAGCAACTGGCAAGCTACAAAGCTCAACTCCAGCAAGTTGAAGCTGCGCTGTCTGGAAATGGAGAAAACGAAGATTTGCTAAAATTAAAGAAAGATTTGCAAGTAAGTATGAGGGGACACTTACAGTTACATTGCTTGAAAAGAATATTTTTGTGTTTTACAGATGATCTATTGTTAAGAATCTGTGGGTATCCAGAACACCATTTGGAGGGAGTGTTTCACCCCTTGTGCGTACAAGTGTGTACGTACATAGGCATACATGGCTTCTAGGAGTAGCGTTGCTTCCTCAGTTTGTGTACATCAAAATGATTGAAGCATTGTTCTTTGTTAACGTCAACCTTGTATGCTCATATAATTTTAAAAAATAAGAGTTAACGTTAGAAGTCATTGTCAAACTTTCTAGAGAAAGAGGTACATACAATTTTACAAGGAATAGCTCTTCTGTTTTTAAAGACCTGGAAAAGGAATTTTAGTTCAAAGGGTAACTAAAAGGAGGAAAATATAACCTGATTAAGATTCTTTTTAATGCCAAAAGATTCTTTGAAAATGAAATAGAGCACGCATGCCAGAGATCCTGTGTGTGTGTAACAGAGCTAGCTCTAGTGCCTTGTGTTGAAAACACATTATAAAAATACCTAAAGAGATGCTTGTTTTCTGCATAAATGTTATATAATGTTTGAACTTAAGGCTAGGTTTTACATCTAGTTTTTGACACTTGTTAGCAACTTAAAATTAAACCAAATCTATGTGAGAAGGAGATCTTAATTTGTTCTTTTTGTTGTAGAGGGGCAGTAAGTATGAAACCTGCTTTTTAAAACTTGCTCTGGGGTTTCGAGACAAACATAAAACCATGATAGTAAATATCTGTTATTTCTCGGAACAATAGGTTGATTAATAAAAATACCATATATAATACTTGTAAATATGTATGAGTTTTCATCTTAACAAATTTGTGAACTTAAAATTCTGAACCTGAGTTTTTGGAAAGTTTTAAAAGATGATTAGATGGTCTATGTTCACTGATTCAAAACAAAACTTGAATCATCTTCATCCTATCTAAGTAATCCTTTCCCTCCCTTTATATCATCCTCTTGCCCATTAAAATTATTAAATTTTAGGGATATTAGAACTGCAAACAAATGAAACTTACGTGAAATGGGGTCCAGATTCAGGATTCTGAAAGCACTTACCTGGGTATAATTAAGATGAGTTAAATATTTTTGGGTTCAAATTCTGGATTTAGGATAGACTTTCATGAAGTTGCAATAGTATGTTATTTTTCTAAAAACACAGAAACCAGGGCCTCTCTTCAATACGTAGAAATCAGGCCAGTGGATTTCAAGGAGCCAGTCAATAAGAAAAAGATGTTTTGGGAGCAGTTTCTCCCACTCTCAGGCCAACTTTCTTCTTGCCTCAAGGAGAGAGCCTGGTATGCCCCCATCTCTCTGTCTCTCTCTATCTTTTTTTTTTTTTTAAATCCAACTTAAAAGCAGTGCTTTTTTCTTTGAAGAAAAAACGTCATGTGCTAGTGTTGTATATATTGCTTCCTGGGCAGTAGGAGGGAGGGGTATATGTGGAACTGGTGGAGGGGGGAGTTGGGAGTGAAGACTGAGAACGTTATTATGAGGTAATAATGTTACAGAGTAAATTGTCAGAGCCTGGGCAGAATTGTCTTATTAGGACATGATCCATAGTGGAAATACTATTGGGAGACAGACCATTGTAGTAGGCATTGTAGTAACCAGGTAAATGGCTTACTTAGGGTTCAGTTAATAATGACCTGGGGGCCATTTTTCTGTAAAATGTCCTGTTTTCTGTAACCATTTTGAAAAGCATTGTCCAATAGAAGTTTCTGTGGTGATGGAGATGTTCTGTATCTGCTGTGTAATATTATAGCCACTACCCACATGTGGCTGTCGAATATTTGGAATAAGACTAGGATGGCCGAAGAGCTGAATTTTTAATTTTATTTAAGTAGCCATATGTGGCTACCATATCAGATGGCACAGATTTAGAAGCATAAGTTCTAACACTTCAGTTAGAAATAATAGAGAATGTTTTTCCTGACCAGTCTTGACTTTGGATTCTTTTCCTCTTATTCTGTCATGGAAAAAAAAATCATTTTGGTTACTAGAAATAGGTCTGTTTTGAATTGAAAACTTCTCAAAGGTGGAAGGCATCATTTAGGATTACATAAAATTCTGGAAAGTTTTGTGCTGTCTGCTTCCATCTAGTAATTGTTATCTCCATTGACTACAGCTACAGCTTCTATTTTGTCATAGGTTTTTTGTTTTTGTTTTTGCGGTACGCGGGCCTCTCACTGTTGTGGCCTCTCCCGTTGCGGAGCACAGGCTCCGGACGCGCAGGCTCAGCGGCCATGGCTCACGGGCCCAGCCGCTCTGCGGCATGTGGGATCTTCCCGGACCAGGGCACGAACCCGCGTCCCCTGCATCGGCAGGCGGACTCTCAACCACTGCGCCACCAGGGAAGCCCAGGTTTTTTGTGTGTCTTGTTTGTTTTTTTTTAAATCCTTTTCCTTCTCTGCATTCTGGGATATACCTTGTGCCATTGATATTTAATCCTGCCTTTTATATTTGCTGAAGAATCTGTTCAGACTGATGACTTGAGTTTGTGGCCTCCTTTATTTTCTTGTGTTCCTTTTATGGAATATCCTTACTCTGGTTAAAAATTTGTTTGCCCTTTCATTTATGCAAAATGTTCTTTCTGCATTTTTTTCAGTGACCCTCATTTGCCAATAAGGCTTCTATGTTTCTTTCTTTATGTACTATCTTTCATATAAAGTTACTCAACAGGCAGCAGATTAATTTACTAAAGTCCTAATTGCCTTTCTTTTTTCACTTAAAAGAAGTGGGTTTAGTAAAATCCAGGCTAGCTAGTTGGCTAGCTCCCCAGGCAGTCTCTGATAATCACAAAAAATAGTCAGTTTATTAGGCTGTTTGCTGAATACACTGGTTCTAAAGGAGGCAGGGGTCAAGTCACTTGTCTCATATGTTACAGTGGCTCTGCATCCCCGAAACGCCTTCCTTCAGTAAGCAGAGTGCTTGAGTGCACCCCCTTTGACCTGCTGATATGTAGATCACAACATCTGATGCTTCCTGGGATTGCCGATTACTGTAACTGCTGCCCATCTGTCAATGAAGGAGCAGTTTCAGAACTCAGACTTGGGGGAGGAAAAGTAATTAATGGTATGTACCTTTAAGAACTCCCTCATACATAAAATAGTTTCTCTAATACTTTGGTCCATATACACATGTGAAGAAAAAAAAAACATTTAGAAGGGTCTTTATAGTTGTTGGGAGGGGTATGTAAAACATGGCAAAGTAAAAAGACAACTAGAGATAAATGCTCCAGATTTTTTAAAGTGTCATTTCAGTGCAGGACTCTGGAAATTATAACATGCACAGCTTTTCAGGACCCTTTTCTTTGGTGAAAATGTATTTCCTTATGAAAATATAGTGGGGAGATGTTTTATCCCAAGACACGTAGAGTTCTAAATCTTGAGACCTACAAACACAGACTTTATGTTTGTGCTTTAGTAGTTAAATGATCCCTAGTTAAATGGAATTATTTAATGATAGGGATTGTATGGGCTCTTGAGTCAGGCTTATTGGATTACATTCTTGGCCCTAAAAGTGGTTAATTAAAAACAAGACTGGATGATTTACTCTCCTTCTTTGTGTAGTACATGATCTGTTTATTTGGAAGTTCTTTGCTTATTTGCAAAAGTTATTTGCAAAAGATTGTCTTATTAAAAAGTATTTGAATGGATATTTGGCACCTAATAAAACTTTCATTAAAGATGTTAATCTACTGAATTTTTAACTTAAATCTGAGTCTTCTAGTTTTTTCATTCATAAAATTTTTTAATTACTAAAACTGATCTTTCTCCAAGGGCTTTAATAATCCTTTTTTTTAAGGCTCAAATATAAGTTTTTAAGAAATAGCCAGGAAGATTTAAAATCTTTAGGAGAGAAGTAACGTTAAACTTTCTTGTCTATTGAACCAGAGCTACTATTATAAAACCTCAGTGGGAACCAGAAGAAACTCAATACAGAGTGCAACTTTGCTAATTTTTCTCCCAGAACGTAATAATGTGATGTTTAAGATATTTTATTTGCAACAGCAGAGGAACAGGTATGCAAGTTCTTAAAATAAATCAGATAAGGTGATGCATAATATGAGTCTTCATCAGAGTAAAAATATAGCAGATTGGTAGCAGAATCTATCAATTTGTTCTATTTCTTAAGTTTTTTAACCAGCCCTACTAAACACCTTTAAAGCCAGTAAGTGTAAGCCTGAGTTAGAAAATACATTTGCCACACAGAAAGGTTTTGCCTACCTGTGTGTGTTACATTTATTTTATTTTTTTTCTTTTAAACGAAGCTGTGCTAATGTGCTTAACATTAAGGTATTGGGATATTTTAAATCTGACTTGGTAATTTGCTTACCCAAATGGGATAGGTTTTATAATAAATGAATAGAGACACTACTGTTTTTAAAATATATCTACAGTACTTTGGTAGAAATATGTATGAGCAGGAACATTTTTATTACTAATAAGGCTGCTTCAAGTGTTTGGGGGTTTTTGAGGGGGAGCTCACCTGTTGGCAGGCAGTTAATACGACTGCCAAGCAGTGCCCTGTAAAAAGTGCAGTTGCGCGACGTACACCTGACAGTGATGTGAGAGAAAAGTGATCTTGAATCTAGGTCAGTGCCTTACAGTTGACTGTTTCTCATCTTTAGGGAGGTCTATTTAGCTAAAATAGGTGCTTAAAAATAATGTACAGTGTAAATTCAAGTCTACCCTATTTCTGTTAGTATTTGAGGTTAATTAAATTGAAAGGCAACTGCCTGGGTTTAAATCCCAGCACCAGTGTATAAAATACTGTATCTCAGTTTCTACATGGGGATAATCACAGTATCTACATCATAGTATTGTTATGAACTGCAAATAAATATGTGTAGAGTACTTAATGAGTGCTATGTGGTATGAGAGCTGTTATCAAAAACTGAAAGAACTTGCTTGTTGAAAGTAGTTGACAATGTGAATTATAAAAATAATGTTAATGGTTTTTGTTTTTTCTTTTTAGGAAGTTATAGAACTAACCAAAGACCTTCTGTCAACTCAACCTTCTGAAACGCTGGCAAGTTCAGACAATTTTGCTTCTACTCAGCCCACTCATTCATGGAAAGTAGGAGACAAGTGTATGGCAATCTGGAGTGAAGATGGACAGTAAGTGTAGAAAAAAACTGTAACTATAACATGAAATAGTAAAGTACAATGGTAAGGTGATTTTAATCAGCTTGAACTACCCTATTTTAATCTTTCTATAATAGCCAGTATGACTTATAGAACGAATTTGATTCTTGGGTGGTTACCATTAATACAGTTTAATTTTTAGCTTTAGGTTAAGTTTTAGGGCAGAAGAATGGCTTGGATCCTAGAGGAAATAAACATGAAAGTAGAGGAAAATGAATGGATATTAAAAAAAAAATAGTCTAAATTCTTTTTTCCTTGAATTGAAAATTGAGTAATGGTTGGTTATCTTAGACTTTTGTGAAGCACATATACTGAAATTATTCCTATAAGAAGTATCTTTTCTCAAAAGAGATTGACTAAAGCACATATAGTAGACATGTAAGAGACTTCCTTGGCAATATTTTGGTTAGGACTTCCTTTTTAAAAAGCAGATGGCTAACTCCAGCCACTATTATCTTTGCCAAAGGGACATTTGATTATAGGAGTTTCATTTTAGACACATTGAATAGTTGAATCACTGCAGTATAAGTCTTGTAGGCTGAGTGCTAAACCTTTACTCACCTGCTTACAGCCATGATATCTTTACAGGTGTTATGAAGCGGAGATTGAGGAGATAGATGAAGAAAACGGCACCGCTGCAATCACTTTTGCTGGCTATGGCAATGCTGAAGTGACTCCACTGTTGAACCTCAAGCCTGTAGAAGAAGGAAGGAAGGCAAAGGAGGACAGTGGCAACAAACCCATGTCAAAGTAAGTGACTTTGACTTAAGCATTTTAAATGTAATCTTCCCCATTTGGGTACTGGAGATGTCTGCAGAATCTATACAGGCTAGACTAGAGTAAGAAACTTGTAATACTGTTTACCATTATTTTGAAGATTAGCAGTGTATGGTCAACATTGTCTTTATATGTATGCCTAGGTAAAGTGAAGACATTTTGGTTCCCACTTAGGCATTTAATGAATAATTATTAAGAGGATTCTATATATTGATACTTCTCACTAAACCAGGTTCTGGGTTCCATCACAGCAAAGAAGACCAAATTAGGCCTTGTCCTGACTGAGTTTATAGTCTAAAGAACAAACACATAATTAAAGAAGAACTTTAATAATAAAGTATAAAAGTAATGGAGGGAACATAATGGGTACTTTTAGGGAACAAAGAAAAGGTACCTAAACTGCATTTTAGTCATCAGGGCAAATTTCTTTGAGGAAATGATGTGTAAACTGAGATTTGAAAAGAAGAGGTGTTAGCCAGTTAATGAACTAGAAGGTATGATCTTGGGCAAGCTGCTTAACTTCTGTTTCCTCATCTGTGAAACAGGGACAATAGTATATGCATTATGGGGTTGTAAGGATTAAATGACAGCATGAGTAAAACATGTAGCACAGTTCTTGACATGTAGTAAGATCTCACTCAGTAAATGTTTACATTTAAAGAAGAAAACCAGGTGGGAACATAGAGGTAACAGAAAGAAATTCCTTTGGTAAAAACTTGGGGCTCGAGGGTGGGTGGTTTGACAAGAGAAGAGATTAGAGAGTCAGAGGCCAGATCATAAAAAGCTTGAAAGCCACGGATGCATTTCAAGTAGAGAGGATCTGATGTGTTCAGATTGGAGCTTTCGAATGATTACTGGCAGCAGAGAGAAGGCAGCTACTGCTGTCTTCCAGGTGTAAGATGATCGTGGACCTGAGCCCAGGGAGTAGCAGTTAAGGATGGACCCGTGTATAGTTTGAGAGGTGTTTAAGAGACAGAATGAACAATTTTCAGTTCTGCATATTTGCCACAATTGGCTATCTTTTGGATTTGTTAGGAGTTTTCAAAACTTAAGTTGCTACATAAATATATTTGAATTTGGGAAAATTGTATCATCTATTAAAATAAATTTGGTTTAAGCATCCCAATAAGAAAGATTGTAGAATAACATGACATTTCTATTTTTAGTCTTTGATATTTGTTTAAAAACCACACTTCATAGTAGTGATTTTATGATACAGAGGAGTCTAGATCATATAGCCTTGTTTTTAAAGACCTCTTTCTTCGTCTTTTTGGTGAGAAGTCAGTGTTAACAGACTGAGCAGAAATTGAGAGGGCTTTAGGCTCTGATTGGAAAACCCTAGTTGTTTTTGTTTTAAGAATTGTTAGCTATGATTTCCCTTTGTACTGCTGTGCTCTTCCAATCTACATGAAATAGTTTTATCTGCATTGAATCTCTTCATACAGTTTTTCCAAATGTGCAGCATATCACACTTGCTAACTGCCCATTTAACAATTGATACAGGTTTAGATAGCTTTTAATGTTGAAACTCCTCCTATTCCTAAAACACAACTGGCAAAAGCCATGTAAATGGCAAATTAAAAGTCATAGTTGCAATGTTTGATTAAATGGGTAATACATTACTACACTTGCGTTCAAAAGCTTCCAAGGATACTGTATATTTCAAATAACATTTATTTCTTAGTAGTCCTGAGTGATCGGCATTGATGTTAGCTTTTATTTGTGGGGTGAAGAATGTGTAAGTTCATTAGGTTTTGGGGTTTTTTTGGAGGGAGCAGTGGTTGCACTGCTAAATATCTCTAAGGAAGTCATCTTTTAAATTTTAAGAGTTGACATTTACCTGTTCTGTCCACACAGAAAAGAAATGATTGCCCAGCAGCGTGAATATAAAAAGAAGAAAGCTTTGAAAAAAGCACAGAGAATAAAAGAACTTGAACAAGAAAGAGAGGACCAGAAGGTGAAATGGCAGCAGTTCAACAACAGAGCCTATTCTAAAAACAAAAAAGGCCAGGTTAGTAAATCCTTTCATCATACTTTGTAAATTTGCAAAGTGCAACTGTCTTTAAAATAAAGCGAGCACAAAATAACTTTAAAATGAAAAAGGAGGTTCATAGATTTAACGAAATAGTAACTGGATCTTGAATTCAGAATCCTCTTTAATCTTTATTTTTGAGTTACTGAAAAATATCTCCATTAGCCACTGTCTCTGCAGTGGAAGCACTATGAATGAGTTTATGCCAGGAATTACAAAAGATCTGGGTTATTTCCTTTTATTTTATTTTAATTTTTTAAAAATTAATTTATTTAATTTATTTATTTTTGGATGTGTTGGTTCTTCATCGTTGCACACGGGCTTTCTCTAGTTGCAGTGAATGGGGGCAGGCTTCTCACTGCAGTGGCTTCTCTTGTTGCAGAGCACGGGCTCTAGGCGCGCAGGCTTCAGTGGTTATGGCACGTGGGCTCAGTAGTTGTGGCTTGCAGGCTCTAGAGCGTGGGCTCAGTAGTTGTGGTGCATGGGCTTAGTTGCTCCGCGGCATGTAGGATCCTCCCGGACCAGGGCATGAACCTGTGTCCCCTGCATTGGCAGGCGGATTCCCAGCCACTGCGCCACCAGGGAAATCCCTGATTTCCGTTTATAAACTAAAATTTGAAAAATTATTTGTTATCTTACATACTGCTTAGAGTGTATTGAACCCTACCTGATTTGTTAACATGCCTTATGTTGGGTGTCACTAGTGGGTTTTATGAGCACTCAGGTTCCCTTGAGGTACTTTTCCTTATAGGTGTATTTTGGAATTTTATTTTTTTCCAAAACTAATCAAGAATTGTTTGTTTCATTTCTCCTAGGTAAAGAGGAGTATTTTTGCTTCACCTGAGAGTGTAACTGGCAAAGTTGGAGTAGGAACTTGTGGAATTGCTGATAAACCTATGACACAGTATCAAGATACCTCTAAATACAATGTTAGGCATTTGATGCCTCAATAATCAGAAAAACTGTTGGATTTCATCTCTGCAGGGCTTTACATTTACCTTTTTATCCTTATATTTTTCTAAAGGTAAATTATTTGTTAGACAAGTAAGGAAGATACCATTGTCGTCATTGTTTGACTTCAGTAGAATGAAACTTGAAGAAATTGTATTTGATAACTGCTATTCATTTAAACTTTTTTCATTACTACTACCAGTTTCCTCAAAGTTTGTTGGGTAAAGCAACTTTTCTAGATAGATGCTGAGTAAATACAGCACTTAGATTAATTATTGATCTTCCTAGTATCAGGCCCCCACTTAATGGATGGCATATACGTTTTGTAAGGTTCTAACTGGGAAGTTTCAGATGCTTTGAACTTGCCACATATTCTAGCAATTCACTGGAACATCAAGGCAAAATACCAACCTGCTAAAGAGAACTTCTCTTCATTTTTTTTTTTGTCTTCAGCTTAAACCTAGCTGTTGCCCAGTTAACCTAAAAGTAGGTTAATTTGTAAATGGCAGAGTTTTTTTTGAGGTTTTTCTCAACTCGTTTCCTAAGCCTATTAGGCCATCTCTGAAATTGATCCAGCTCTGTATTCTTTTCACTGAATTTTAGTTTTATGTAAGAAACCATGTTTAGGACCAGCTACCTTTTCTAATGTTTTTTTTTGTTTTTTGTACGTTTGCTTTCCTCCTGTGTTGATTTTCACTTATGGTAGTGGTACCATTTTTTGGATGTGTAATGTTTATATGAGAAAACAAAAAGCTGATGTATAGCCCTGTATACAATGTAGATACTATTTTTGTAAAAAACCGAGGCTAAATTAATGAACAAGAGTACCGAATGTTTCATCATTAAAAATTTACTGTATTTCTTGTGCATTAATCTGACCATAATTTCCCTGTATAATGTTCACGTAGCTGAGTTTGTAATTTTTGTTAACTAGATCAAGTTGTCAGCATTTGTTGGTAAGTGAGCATCACAATTATCCTGAGTTGAGTTTAAGCCAAATGTATGCGTAGAAAAGGGTCTTCCTATTAATGGAAGATGGTGATTTTTAAGATGTGTGTTAATTTCAGTTTTTGTATGTTTAACTTTTATTAAATAAAGTGTTTTTAAAATCTCCAGGGTGTGTTAACAGAAAGGTGAAGTTAGCTGCTAGCATTGATATAATGATTAAGCATACATCATTTCCACAGAAAAGAATATTGAGTGTGTAATAAATGTTTCGATAAATCCTTATGTGCGCCTTATATTGGACATAAGAAATTGGAAAGGACAGACTAGTTTTATTTTAAGGGTTGTGCTTGCATAGGGGTGTTTGTAAATTTTTGGTAGAAGGGGAAAATAAAAATTTTTATTAAGAAAAAAAATTTTTTATTTCATGATTTTAATTTTTTTGGTAAATTGAAGCTTTTTAAAAAATGTTTTTGGCCACGCAGCACGGCATGTGGGATCTTAGTTCCTGGACCAGGGATCAAACCCGTCCTGCCTGCAGTGGAAGCTCAGAGTCTTAACCACTGGACCGCCAGGGAAGTCTGGTAAATTGAAACCTTCAGGAGGACAGTGATGAGAGAGAATTCCTCGTGTCTCCATCTCCCTCCCAACTCAGGAGATCACTGTTGTTTTGTTTTTTTGTTTCTCTCCCTGTAATTTATGGCCAAAGGGTAGAGCACATAGGACAGAATGAAAGGTGAAGTAGTTTTTCAATACAAGGCACAAATTACAGTAGAAAAGGAGCTACTTAGCCCGAAAAACTTCTAAATATACTAATGTTCTTGTTACCAGTATAACAAACTTTAAATCAGTGGTATCCTTAAAGGATTGCAAGGGAACCCTAGTAATTAAAAAGCACTGGAAGGAAATTTGGTATAACTCTGTGGCCATACAAAGTGGTTTTTGGTGAGATTATCTTGGTATGTTTGCTGGAGTAATAGTTCACCTGGTGTTTGTGTAGGCAAGACTTGTGTTGAGACTCGTGCCTCCTTTGACTCTATGGGCCTTCCTTTCTGCACATTAATTTTCCTGGAGGGCTTTGCAGTAGAAGGAGAGAGAAGGGGAAAAAAAAGTGACCGTGTTGTAGAAAACATTTTTTAACAAATAGGCATATAGCATGAAGTCAAGAGCCTGTGTGTCGAAGACCTAGATGTGGTCCTTTGTAAAGTCCTGTTGTCAGGATGATGATAGTTTCTCTGGACTAAACTTAAAAATTAGGAATCCTGGGGGGACCTGTCTCATAATGGATGCTGAAGTTGAGAAAATCTTAATGAGCATGATACCAATGGTATTTTACAAATGCAGGTGGTTAAGCTCTCAATATTCTAAAATCAAATATGATGCTTGGTCTATGAAGGTTTGTTATAAAATTTAATGGAGAGGTTACCCTCTTGTCAAGAAAGGAGACATGAAGCTCTGAAATGGACAGACTGAACCATACTTGATGGCCCCCACGTGGCTGTGGTTGCATTTGTCTTTTCTCAAAACTTGACATTTGACTTTGTTATTGGCTCTTTCAAGGAAAGTACAGTCCTAACACCCCCAAAACAATTTTAAATTTTAATATTAATCACAGATAACAGTGTTTTAATTAACATATAGAAAAGTCATATTGGAAGAGCAAGGACTCTGGAGCCAGACTGCTGTGTTTGAATCCTGGCTCCCTCATTTATTATTTGTATGCATAATTCTCTGCCTCAGTTTTCTCAGCTGTAGAATTAAATTAATACGTTTCATTAGGTTGTAAGGATGAGTGAGTTAATATGTGTGAAGTGTTTAGTAGAGTACCTGGTATGTTGTAAGCACTATAGATAGAAGTGTTTGCTACTACTGTGCAGAGCTAATGATGACTATCTGATCTTTTTTCCTTAACTTGAATAACAATTCACATTATAATGGAAATAATACTATTGCTTATAAATGTGTTACTGAAATGTTACCAAATTACCAAAGTTCTAAGACATTAAGTAATCCTGATAGAGGTTTAAATTTTTGTATTTAGGGTTTGTTTCTTAGTGGGAAGGGGGTTACACTCCTAATAAAATCACTTTTTTTTTTTAATTTAATTTTTATTTTTGGCTGCGTTGGGTCTTGGTTGCTGCGTGGGGGCTACTCTTCGTTGCGGTGCACGGGCTTATTGTGGTGGCTTCTCTTGTTGTGGAGCATGGCCTCTAGGCGCGTGGGCTTCAGTAGTTGTGGCACATGGGCTCAGTAGTTGTGGCTTGCGGGCTCTAGAGCGCAGGCTCGGTAGTTGTGGTGCATGGGCTTAGCTGCTCCGCGGCACGTGGGATCTGCCCAGACCAGGGATCGAACCCGTGTCCCCTGCACTGGCAGGTGGATTCTCAACCACTGTGCCACCAGGGAAGCCCCACTCGTAATTCTTGATTAAGATTAATGAGGGATTCTTGGATCTGGGTCCTACTCCAGGCCTGTCCAGGCCAAGGTATGTCTTGTTTTTTTGACAGACACCACACAGGTGATTCTGATGTGCATCCCTGGCTGAGCACCATGTTTTAGGTTAAATGTGAAAACGGTTGGATTTTTGAAATGAAGGCAAAAATTTATAAGTGGCAATTTTCTGAGCCCAATTATGAAGACTTGGGCATCAAACCAAAGTGAAAATGCATCCATTTAACGTAACAACTCATTTTTTTAAATACTTGTTTTTTCACAACAAAGGATGTGCATGTGCATGCACGTGTGTTTCCATTACAATGCAGTTTTAATGCTCTGTATGCCTTTAAAATAGCAAGGGAAAACCATGAAGTGACAAAGGAAACTCAGTTTTGTAAGTTGTGTGGTGTCTGTAGATTGTGATTGTATAAGGTGAAAAACACCACTTGCAAATTAAGCGAAGTATTAGAGTTTTGATTTGGCTTTTTGCCTCAACTGGGTATTAACTGAGATATAAAAGAAGGAAGAAAATGTATTAAACCCAACAAGGTTTTGTATTTGTTAAAATATTTAGAGAGTTCAATAAACATGTGCTGAATTGTATTAAGTATTTGTATTAAACTATGAAACAACCAGTTAGTATAAATGGTAATTTACAAGTTCAACAGTAAACGTAAACATTCTTTGTATCTAGGATTTTTGAGTTGCAAGTTAAACTGAATTTTTACTGCAGTGGAGAGGAAAAGCATAGCAGGTAAAATAACAGGTAATGCCATAGTTTAAACAAAACCAAAGCTATTGATTCCCCTTATACTATGATTTTTTTTAAAAAGCGTACCTGTATAGATGGGTATAGACGTATTCTTAAGAAACATCTCAAGAGGTTCAGAAACCCGTAATATTGACATTCTAAGAATTTGTTTTCGCCTAGCCAAAAGTAGTAAAACAAACAAACAAAAACAGATGAAGGTGTTATTCTGTGAGGGTCCTCGCTTGCCTTTTCTGCCATTCAGCTTAAGTATGTAAAGGTTCTTTTGTGGCCTTGAGTGGCGAAAAGCAGATCTGAGAATAATGCTGGGCTTGGGTTAGCTGACAGCTGAACTAACTAAAAATATCAAATTATGGCTACTTGTCATCTTTTAGTTCCCAGAAATAAAAACTGGCAATTTACTTCCACCAAGCACCTTACCAGTTCATTTTTACAAAACCAGTATGGACTTGTTACTGGAATTATTAAAATTGTAACTTGTTTCCCCAGTTAGTTTTTTTTAAGAGCACAGCTAAAGAAGCTATGGTTATTCTTATTGGGAGAAAAGGTTTGTTTTTTGTGTGAAGAGCTACTTCACACAAAAATCATGGTTATTATTTTGCTGGCTCATGATTTTCCTTTTTTGGTGAAACTGATGTGCTTTTGTTTTTTCTCCTTTCAAGCCCTGTACTCACTTTAGCAAGATGCAGTGAATTTCTGACCAGAGAAACAAAGAATTCAGGCTTGGAGGAAACACTTGACTCTACATCCTGGGAAAACTAGAGTTGAAGCCTGAGATCCGTAGCGAGGCTAGTCTTTAATAGATGGTAATTGTCCCAATTGTTAATTGCTCAGAAGTATGCAGGAAGGAGGAGTAAGTATCCCTTTGGTTCTTTTGCTCAGAATTTTTCCCTCCAAAATCCCTGTCAGGTTTAGTTGACCTAGCTTTCAGAGTGAGTGTGATGAAGCTGCTAATTTAGAAACAACTGACTTCTTAAATTTTTATTTTTTACATACATTTTAGAGATATTTTATGGCTTTTATGTTTTTACAATGCTATTCTGTACCCTGGTGTGAAAATCTAAAATATCCCAGTTATTGTCCTACTAGTAAAGAGTAAAAGCATTTTTCCATAGCTAAGAGCTTGAAAAAATAGAAAATATTCCAAAATTATAGGAAGTTGGCAGTACTTTATAAGAGCTTCATTTAAGCCATTTCTCCTAATAATTACTATATAGAAAGGTAAAACAAACAACTGAAGCTGTCAGCCAGTACATCTATTTTGAACTACACTTATTATTTCCAAGAATCAGATGTATTCCAAAAGAAAACTAGTTTCCTGTTGGATCTGGTACCTAGGCCAATAAGATTTTTCTTCATGGTGAGGCCAGCACTAAAATATTAACTAGGACACTCAATTTATTATGCAATGGTTACTATCAGTGTATAACATACTCAAGCTCAGGCCCTTTCCTTTTTTTAGGAAGACCAGGTAATCACTAAAACCAATGATACATAAATCTTATAAAGGCTTTATTTAAAAATTTCTATAGGATGTCAAAATTTACTTCTTACAATGTATAACCTGCCACAGAATTTTGTGAAAATGAATCATTTTATTAATAGTTTTATTCTGCAAGACCCAGAGTCAGAATAACTAAAATTCAAGATTAAGGATGAAGAGATTAGAAGGCTGCATTCATCGGAGGAAGTAGAGAAGTATAACACCTGTTAATTTCCTTCTGGCACTACATGCTCCTGGGCTGTGGTGGTGGCATGGATCCACATGTGTCCGCTTTTGTAAGTCTTTTTTTTTTCTTTTTTTATTCAAACAGAAAGTCAAAAATTATCATCCTCATCAGTTCACTCAGTCTACATATATCAGTTTTAATCCTTAACAGTCTTTCAAAATAGAGGTAGTATTTCTATCAACTTTCCAGGAGGAAACAAGTCTCCATGAAGAAATTTAGTATGTTGCCCAGGGTCCTTAGCGAATGTTAGAACTGCTATTTAAATGTAATCAAAATGCTTGTTCTTCCCCTATTATGCTCTTTTTGGAAGGGAGTGTGGAATTTTTGAGGTGGAAGGATAATAAAAGAAAAAGGGCAGCTAGTTGCTTCTTCAAGTGGAAGAAAACAAACCCTCAAAAAAACCCTTCCCCGAAAGGGTAGACCATTTCCTTGTGAGAAATGACCGGGGATGCAGTGTGGCTTTAGGTTAGAAGCCTTGCCTGAACAATCCTCATTGCCTTTTAAAATCCCTTCATAATGCTAAAAACTGTCATTGTTACGGCCCTAGAAAAGGCATTTCTGCTGGAGTTTCTCATACCTATTCTAATCAGAAACTAGAGTCGCAATGACTTCATCACAATCTTCTTTGGTAATAATATGCACAGAAATAGGATTTACCTGTACCTATTAATTTATCACTCAGACATTTTACATAGGGGGCAGTGTTAACTCAGGTTAGTAAGGACTAAATGGGAACTTCCAGATTGGTTTTCAATTTGAATATTAGTAGAGTCAAAGGGATTCCCTAAAAAGTTATTTGGAGAACAGATAATTAGAATGACAAATGGCTTTGTGTCCTACCTGAAGAAATTAAGATTATTGGGTACATTAAACCATCTGCAGTTAGGTTATGTGGAATTATCAGTCAAGAAGGCACCTGTTGTAAATTACTGAACAGGAAATGGCAATGATTAAACTGCCATTAATTCAGACCACTGAAGTGGTATAAACATAGACATTTAAGGAGATAGTTGCCTCAAGATATGCTCATTCATATTTTTTCCTTCATAGAGAAGGGCGGTACAAAAAGCACTCGTGTGTTCTTCATTCACAATTTTTATTTCTTGCAGTTAACTTTTTGTATCTTCAAAGTCCATTTGTCTTTAAAAAAAATTAATACTTATTCATCATACAATCCATCCCCTCCCCCAAGGAAAACAAATTCAGGGAAGGAGTAATTTAGGGGGCAGTTGAAATAGGTACTATAGGTTCGTGACAAAGGCTTCCCAGCCCACCATCCTGTACATATACAACAAAATTGCAGCACCTCAAGTTCACCTAAATGAAGTCCCAAATTCCAGCCCTCGGCGAGTGATGCAAGTGAATGCCATGGGAATTACAAAATGGAAGCTCTGTCACTGGCTTCCATTTATTTTCCATGGTAGTTAGCAGAGTCTTCAAACTGTCCCCTTTGGGAAAGTCAAAAATAAGCAAACATATAGAGCAACATTTTGACCTGGCCAGGAGTAATTATAAATGAAACCAGAAATAATTTACCTGGGCCACAGAAATGAATTTCTTTTATCATGTTTTTCATTAAGTCCCCAGCACCTGAAGTAGCAAGTTCTAATAATGGGCTTCTAAAGGCATGCAGTTTTTCACACATCTACTTCAAAGAACTTCTTCCACTCAAACATACCACAGTCAAGGACAAAATATTTTTGGAGGCACGGGAAGAGCACAAGAACAAGTAAGTATATGATGAGGCCTTGTGTATGACCAAGATGGTTCACTTCATATATAGAAGCAGTGAGAGCTGTTAAAAGTGCTACTTACAAAGGATGGTCTAACATTACACACACAACTGCACTGCTAAATATGGTTGTCTTTATTTTCTTTTTCCTTGCCCAGCCCTATCTAAGCAAAATAAAACTACAGGACTGAAATTAACCCATTAAAATCAGCAATAAGTTATGAAAATCATAAAGCTTTTTTTTTCTTTTTTAAGTAATTAAGGGTAGTTAAATTATTTAAAGTACACAAAGTCCAAAGAGCCAGGGTAAGGTCTCCAAGGCTTCCTGGGGTAAGGGAGAGGGCCAGGGGAGAACCTGGGAGTTTGAAAGACAAAAAGGGAACACGTGACATCAAAGTGCAGGCTAGAATTTCACTTAAAATAACATTTCTGAAAATATTGACAAGAGCAACAATAGCACCTGCACAATGGGATTGTGAGGGAGAGAGACTGCCTGTAGGAAAACAGAAGCAAATCTTTACATTAAAATGAGACAAGTGCCGAACTTAACTATGTTAACTATGATAGTATGTCTACTATAGATATCAGATGGTTAAAAGATGGTAAAAGGTAATGATTCTAAAAGAAAACAAAAACAGCATTGACCTTTTTTCTACTTAGCCCAGACCTCATTCATTTTGTGCACTATAAAGAGTGAGGTGTGAGGTGTTTTATCATTATCAAATGCTGCATCAAAATAGATGATTTTTTCCCATGTGTTTTTCACTATAAAAGACGTCTATGTTTTTTATGGACAAGCTTTAAAAAGATGTCATTTTGGTTTTCAACACATACAAACAGTTATCAAAATCTGAAATAAAAATGCTGCCATGGCTCAGACCTTGGCCTGCTAATCTGTGTGCACAACTCTTCTGGCCACGCAGACACAGAGGCACATGGAGCTTTTTCCTTCTGGCCCCTCTATCCGAACTCAGGCCCTGTGTGGTAGAGGGTGTCATGCACACAGACCCAAGGGCCTAAGGGCAGCTGACTGTAGAGCTGGCGGTTGGGTGCCCTAGTGCTAACAATGCTGGATAAGGTTAGCTTGCTTAGCATGGAATCCAACAGAAAGCTGAGCTGCATGATGATCCCTTTCAAAAGGCTTCATGGGAGTCTCTCCTTTTGCAGAGCATGAAATGAGCTTTTTTTTTTTTTTTTAAAAGAACTGATCATCCACAGGCTTCATGAGAAGCTGTCCCAGGCTTGAGTTTTAATAGTTCTTTAGCTATCCAAGATTAATGCCTGATTATCTTGTCATTACTATAGGTTTGATTTTTGTTTTTAGGACCAAAAAAGCTCAGGAAGTGTTCATAATCCCATCCTTAAATGTGTCTACTCAATCAATGTAGTATGAGCAAACTTGAAAAGAAAAAGAGGATGGAATCTCCAATGTCCTCTTTCAAGTCAACTAAATCAAATCGAGAAAATTTCACACGTTTTCTGCTGCCATTAGAAACTGATTTTCAGATATGAATATTAGAATATTTGTTCTGCTGAGGGAGTCTCTGCTCCACTTTTTGCTAAGTATTTGCTTAAACAGAGGTCTCTTGACCCTTCCATTCAAGTATAGTTTTGTTTAGCTTTAAAGAGGAGACTGCATCATGAACCCAATTTAAGAGATTGTTTGGATTGAACTGGCCCAGTGAATATTTTGCCCTGCACTGTTATGTCATGCTGGGTTCTAGGAAGTGAACGAAAGTTTGACACTGGCACTGGAGTAACCCTCGTCACTCCCAATACTCTGCAGGCTGCTGTGGTCATCAATGTCACTGATGCTGGTGGTACTGATATTGTCCACTTCTCCATGGGAGAACTCTGTGCTTTCAACATCCACTTCAATCTCCTCTGCCAAAGGGAAAAAAGGAAGAATGTTAGTAATCTAGTATACGTGTGCCTTCAAGAACAGGGGGGCATGAGGAAAAGAAACTACTTTTTGTAGTATAAACTGTTATACAAACTATTATCAGTGATCTCTGAAGAACAGAAGGACCCAAAGATTAAGAGACACAGGGATATATTTTACAAGGGAAATGTCTGGTATACAGTGGTGGTCTCAATTTAAGCAGCAAGTTTACTAAAGCCTTTGACACCAGTCCGTCTAGACCTTCCACCAAAAGCACTTGACCTATTTGGGAATTAGTGCTTAATATTAAAAGATCCCAACCCCAAGTGGTTTAACAACATTTGTTTTGCATTAAACTAGAAACTAATTCTCAGTGATCTTTATTAAGCAGAGTTGCCTTAAAGGGGGGAAAAAGCATAAACTGAATACAGGTGAACTAGAAAATGTATCCATCCGGCCCTTTGGTGGTATTATTTTACAGATAGTTCTAGGTATTATTTTACAGATAGACTTCTAGGATTCATCATAAAGATCTCTGACTATTCAGTAACCAAAATTAGCCAGTCATTATAAAGTGGACTCTGAGAGATTTGTCTTCAATTAAATTCTCTTGCATCAAATATAGCTTGAAATGAGGGCATGAGTCTTAAAAGTCTCTGGATTATAGTGAGATCTATAGTAAAAATTACAGTAAAGGCATTTTATTTAATACTGGTGGTATTTAACTTTACTTCAAAAACCAAACATGATTAAAAAAAATCTAAATACATATATGACCCAGCTATGTATAGATATTTTAATTGTTAAATACTACATATACAATCACCAATAATATATAAAAAGCAATACACATTTTTTTTTTAAAGGCAGTTGAAAGACCACTTCCTCCCATAACAGACAGGATGAACTCAATATTCTTCAATTCTCTTAAAACAAACTCAAAGCCTGATGTTTCACATTTGGCACTGATTTTAGCTATTCACACTGCTCACACAATCACTTTAGGAAACACAGATTCTAGCTGAGCGCAAGAAGACAGAGTAAGTTATTTTAAAGAGCATAATTTTCAAAAGGGCTTGTTGCTTCTAAAAGTTTTAGCAATCTGTTTTTTTTGGTTTTTTTTTTTTTTGCGGTACGCCGGCCTCTCACTGTTGTGGCCGCTCCGGACGTGCAGGCTCCGCGGCCATGGCTCACGGGCCCAGCCGCTCCGCAGCAAGTGGGATCTTCCCGGACCAGGGCACGAACCTGTGTCCCCTGCATCGGCAGGCAGACTCTCAACCACTGCGCCACCAGGGAAGCCCTAGCAATCTGTTTTTACAATGCAGGCAGTTGTCCAAACAGGCTGTACAAATAATCCTATGAATTCATAACTATTTGTTTCATATCCATAATGCTTCACAGGCTATTTAGTGTTTCCCAGTATCACAGAACACTCATCCAACCTACATTTGGGAAACAAAATCAAGACACCCTATCCAACAGAGCATGCTGAACTCAAAACAAAATAAAATGAGAGACTGTTCTAGCCAAATGGACTAGAGATGTTACTAAAAAAGTTCCTATAACTCTGGGAAAGAGAGCTGCCAGAGAAGAACAAGAATGGTACTTGGTAAGGTACTTGCACTTTGGGAATACTAAAAAAATGAGAACATTTATAATGATGAAAACATACCCTCTCTCTGCAATTTGGAGGTGGGGTGGGTACAAGGAGGTACCCACTTTTTGGTTATTTGAGGGTAACCAAAAAAGTTGATGAGGAAATATTCTTCTTTAAAGAAGAAAAAGTTAATAAACACAAGAAGAATGATAGAATTAGAAAATCACTATTTTGTAACAACTAATGAAATATTGATTGAGCAACAATCATCAATGACCGTTAAAACTATTAAGTGAAAGGTTGATAAATCTGCATAAAACATGACATCACCTGAACCCACTGACCAATGTTATCACCATCATGGGACAATCAAAAATAACACTGATGCAACAGGAAGTACACAGCGCCATGAAGTATTCTTGCCTCAAAAAAGAACATGAATTAAATCAGGCCTCTAGATCTACCAACCAGTTTACAAGAAATATGAGGGACAGAACATGTTAAATGCCACCACGAGGATTCATTCAGCCAAATCTAGAATGTGGGAAACTCTATAAGAAAAATGGCCCAGTTTCCCAGGTTCTACAAGAAATAATTGGCACTGAAAAAAAAAGTGGGAAAGGGAAAACTATTATAGATTAGAAGTACAGTTGACCCTTGAACAACTCAGGGGGTTAGGGATGCCAACTCTCCACAAAGTCAAAAATCTGAGTCTAGCCTTACAGTCAGCCCTCCCTATCTGCAGATTCAACCAATCATGGATCATGTAGGTGCTGTAGCACATATTTATTGAAATATATCGACACCTAAGTGCACCTGTGCAGTTCAAACTTGTGTTGTTCAAGGGCCAACCGTACCTTAAAAAGTACAAACAAATGTAATGTAGACTTTGTTTGGGTTCTAATTCAAACATACCAGGGCTTGCCTGGTGGCACAGTGGTTGAGAGTCTGCCTGCCGATGCAGGGGACACGGGTTCGTGCCCTGGTATGGGGAGGTCCCACATGCCGCGGAGCGGCTAGGCCCGTGAGCCATGGCTGCTGAGCCTGCGCGTCCCGAGCCTGCGCTCCGCAACAGGAGAGGCCACAACAATGAGAGGCCCGCGTACCGCAAAAAAAAAAAAAAAATTAACATCACCAGTAATAAAACATATCAACATAATGTATCTTCCTGATACTATGAATTGAGAAGGGCACAACATCACTTCTGTGATATTTCTTCCCCCAAATGTATAATACCTCAATCTAATGAAAAACATCAGACAAACCCAAATTGAGGAACACTGCATAAAATAACTGACCAATATTCTTCAAATGTGTCATGGTCATGAAAGAAAGACTGAAGAAATATCTCATGCAATGTAGGATACTGCACTGGATCCTGGATCAGACAAAGGACATTATTGGGGAAAGTGGTGAAATTTGAATAAGGTTTATAGATTAATTAATAGTATTGCATGAATGTTAATTTCCTGGTTTCAATAACTATTATGGTTACATAAGATACTAACATTAGGGGAACCTGGGTGAAGGGTATATGAGAACTCAACAATTTTCTACAGAAAACTTACAACTTTTAAGTCTAAAATTGTTTCAAAGTGGAAAATTTTCAATATACATATAATCAAGAAAAAAAATTCTATAATTCATACAGGCATTGCTAGACAATGTTGTGACTACATAAAATCTAGAATGCTACATTCAATGTTGGCAAAAAAGGAAGCAAATACAATGCCACCCAACCTCCCCTCTCTAAATTCAGATACAGGGATGCTAGTGTTTCATTAGCAAAGAAGCTCACTGCCTACCTCGCTCTGAATCAGAACGATCTGAAGAAATAGTTGATCCAATGCTGTCCATTCGTATTCGTTCCATCTCTTGAGGACCCTGCAGCTGTTCCAGTCGCCGCTTTAAAAATCTCTGTTCTCGTTCCAAATTCTCTAGCTGGTGCTGGCTCTTCCTTTCAGCTTCTTCAAGTTTCTAAAATGATAAAGTGATATTTAAGTTTGTGTGAGGTACAGTACAAACAATAAAACTGATTCCTACCTAACATCTCAAAAGATTTCTTCTTTGACAGAGAAAACATGAATGACTATACATGTGTGTGTATACATAAAAACATACATAAGTATATATTTTTTAAACATGAAAAATAGTTATTTCTTCACTTTGTGTGTGTGTGTGTGTGTGTGTGTGTGTGTGTGTAATGAGTGCTACATTACTAGAACAGTATAGAATTCTCAAAGTCTGTCAAGTTACCACCACAAAAGAGAAACTTGCTCTGCCATATAGTTTGATGGAAAATTACTGAGAGACACAGCCAAATGAAGTCATCTCCACCAGAGGGCACAACTGCCTTCCTTCAGGGTATCAGCAGAGTAATTGTTATTTTCCTAGTATTCTCAGCTCTTCAAATGACCACGCTGTCAAAACAATTTAATGTAATCAGGTTATGTTGCTCCCATCAGATTAGCTGATAAGTTTTCAGAAAATTTCTCTTGAGGTCAGTTATTAAAGGAGGTCACTGTGCTAGCTGATATATATGAATAGGAATCATTGCTAAAAAGAGAGCAGGACTGAGAATCATGTGAAAATATGACAAAAAATTCCTACCTTGATGTGTGCTTTGGCTTTGTTGAGCAAACCAAGTGTTGTGTGCCTGGTGCAATCTGGTCCTAGTGGAATCAGAACTTTTAAGCGTTCTAAACACAGGCGAAGATGAGCTCGTCTAAGAAAGACAAAAAAGTCCAATCAGTACAGCCTGAATATTCCACTAAAAACATCCTAAAGCCTATTTTAAGACAAATAAGAATTTGCACATTATTCAGTCTATAACCATGTTACGCCCCTAATTCTTCAGTTTCAACAAAGTATCTGCATGCAAGTGAAGGTGTGCCTACAGGTTTTCAGTTTCTGACATTTCTGTTGTACTCTGAAAACATCGGTCACTTCAGATTATTATCCCCAATGGTTATCTCTGTCAGAGGTGATTTAATTTTAACCTGCCCCATAAACTGTCTCAACTGTATTAATGTGGAAGTAGGAAAACATATTTGGGCAACTGTATTTGATTTTGAATGTGTAAAACCACACGCTAGAATAGAGGTTTTCAGCTTCAGAGCACCCCAAAATGCTCACAAATTTCCATTTCTTCCCTTCCACCTTTCATTCACACACACACACCCCTCTCCACAACTGTAGCCATCCTACAGTGTTTATGTTATTATGTATTAGGCTGAACCATACAAAATTTCTGATATTCAACCATTTCTCACTTATAAAAATGGCAACTTCATATGATCCAACACAATAAAAACAGCAAAATTCTGTGGCCAGTGAGGATAGGGTTAGGCAAAATATATGGCCCTGAGATCAATTCTAGCCACTGAAACAACCACCCATAAAATAGTCCCCTGCTTCCTAATATCTAAGTGTACCAGCTATCATTAGCTTTTCATTTTTATTTCTGTCTCCCTCTTCCCTCTTACTACCCCTTACCCACCACCTCCAATTTTCTACACATGGAAAAAAGCCATGACAGAATTCTTCACTAAAAGTCACTGTATTCTTTAATACACCCATCCTATGGGCAAGTTAGGGAAATTTTCTCTGTAAATGCTAGTAGAGAGCCTCATGAATTTATATTCCCTATACCCCACAGGAACTATGATTACCATGATGAGAGTTCTGGGTACATAATTTCACCCTGAAACAATACTAGTTCATATATCTGGTCCTGTGCTTCATAAAGTATAACGTAATTAATCACTTAATAATATATCTGAAAAGAAAATCCACAGATGTGCTCATAGATTAGGCTCTATTCTGTAAAGAGCCATATTGAACATTTAGCAACTGTTTCAACTGTCCCACAAACAGAACACATCCTCCATTTTTTCCTCAAAGAGGGCCAAAACGGTCTACTAGCTCAACCACGGACCTATGCTTTCTTTGCCTTAATACATAAGAAATAATGTCAAGAGACATTCTCAAATGCTAGCAATTTCAAAGAGGGATATGATAAGGCAGCCAATTATGTCATTGACAAGTAAGGATGATTAAGGGTAGTGAGGTCAGAGATCTGGCAGATGAATTGTCAAGATTCTTCCAGTATCCACTAGCCCAGCTAGTTAAAGGTCTGCTAGCATTTCCATTTCAAATCTCTTTATTGAGTTCAACAACTAAAATCTAGTAATTGGCTCCAGGCTGAAACGTGACATACCTAATGTGGATAAGGAAAAAATTTTTTTAAACTTGCCCTAAATTAAAGGATTATCAATGGATTCCCCTTAATGAGATTTAACAATTTTAAAGTCACTCTCCTCCCCTGCTATGCTTCCCAAAATCATAGAACCTTTAGTAGAATTTTCCTTTTTAATTGGAAAATCTCTTAGGTGAGGACTCTCACATGATCACAGAGTGCTCTTGCTGAACAGACTAAAACTAAACAAAATAAAGTCCACATTAAAAAGTGCCTTTGAGATTGGTTCAAGATGGCAGAGCAGAAGGACGTGCTGTCACTCCCTCTTGGGAGAGCACCGGAATCACAACTAACTGCTGAACAATCATCGACAGGAAGACACTGGAACTCACCAAAAAAGATACCCCACATCCAAAGATTAAGGAGAAGCCACAATGAGATGATAGGAGGGGCACAATCACAATAAAATCAAATCCCATAACTGCCGGGTGGGTGACTCCAAACTGGAGAACACTTATACCACAGAAGTCCACCCACTGGAGTGAAGGTTCTGAGCCCCACGTCAGGCTTCCCAGCCTGGGGGTCCAGCAATGGGAGGAGGAATTCCTAGAGAATCAGACTTTGAAGGCTAGCAGGATTTGATTGCAGGACTTTGACAGGACTGGGGGAAACAGAGACTCCACTCTTGGAGGGCACACACAAAGTAGTATGCACATTGGGACCCAGGGGAAGGAGCAGGGACCCCATAGGAGACTGAACCAGACCTACCTGCTAGTGTTGGAGGGTCTCCTGTAGAGGCAGGGGGTGGCTGTGTCTCACCATGAGGACAAGGACACTGGCAGAAGTTCTGGGAAGTACTCCTTGGTATGAGCCCTCCCAGAGTCCACCATTAGCCCCACCTAAGAGCCCAGGGAGGCTCCAGTGTTGGGTCACCTCAGGCCAAAGAACCAACAGGAAGGGAACCCAGCACCACCCACCAGCAGAAAAGTAGATTAAAGTTTTACTGAGCGCTGCCCACCAGATCAGCAGCCAGCTCTACCCACCACCAGTCCCTCCCATCAGGAAACTTGCGCAAGCCTCTTAGATAGCCTCATCCACCAGAGGGCAGACAGCAGAAGCAAGAAGAAATACAATCCTGCAGCCTGTGGAACAAAAACCGCATTCACAGAAAGACAGACAAGATGAAAAGGCAGAGGATTAGGTACCAGATGAAGGAACAAGATAAAACCCCTGAAAAACAACTAAATGAAGTGGAGCTAGGCAATCTTGTGGAAAAAGAATTCAGAATAATGATAGTGAAGATGATCCAGGACCTCAGAAAAAGAATGGAGGCAAAGATGGAGAACATGCAAGAAATGTTTAACAAAGACCTAGAAGAATCAAAGAACAAACAAACAGAGATGAACAATGCAATAACTGAAATGAAAAATACACTAGAAGGAATCAATAGCAGAATAACTGAGGCAGAAGAACGGATAAATGACCTGGAAGACAGAATGGTGGAATTCACTGCTGCGGAACAGAATAAAGAAAAAAGAATGAAAAGACACGAAGACAGCCTAAGAGACCTCTGGGACAACATGAAACATAATAACATTCGCATTATCAGGGTCCCAGAAGGAGAAGAGAGAGAGAAGGGACCAGAGAAAATATTTGAAGAGATTATAGTCGAAAACTTCCCTAACATGGGAAAGGAAATAGCCACCCAAGTCCAGGAAGTGCAGCGAGTCCCATACAGGATAAACCCAAGGAGAAACACGCTGAGACACACATAATCAAACTGGCAAAAATTAAAGACAAAGAAAAATTATTGAAAGCAGCAAGGGAAAAACGACAAATAACATACAAGGGAACTCCCATAAGGTTAACAGCTGATTTCTCAGCAGAAACTCTACGAGCCAGAAGGGAGTAGCATGACATATTTAAAGTGATGAAAGGGAAGAACCTACAACCAAGATTACTCTACCCTGCAAGGATCTCATTCACATTTGATGGAGAAATCAAAAGCTTTACAGACAAGCAAAAGCTAAGAGAATTCAGCAACACCAAATCAGCTTTACAACAAATGCTAAAGGAACTTCTCTAAGTGGGACACACAAGAGAAGAAAAGGACCTACAAAAACAAACCCAAAACAATTAATAAAATGGTAACAGGAACATACATATCGATAATTACCTTAAATGTGAATGGATTACATGCTCCAACCAAAAGACACAGGCTCGCTGAATGGATACAAAAATAAGACCCGTATATATGCTGTCTAAAAGAGACCCACTTCAGACCTAGGGACACATACAGACTGAAAGTGAGGGGATGGAAAAAGATATTCCATGCAAATGGAAATCAAAATAAAGCCAGAGTAGCACTACTCATATTAGATAAAATAGACTTTAAAATAAAGAATGTTACAAGAGACAAGGTAGGACACTCAAGGGATCATTTCAAGAAGAAGGTATAACAATTATAAATATATATGCTCCCAACATAGGAGCACCTCAATACATAAGGCAATTGCTAACAGCTATAAAAGAGGAAATCGACAGTAACACAATAATAGTGGGGGACTTTAACACCTCACTTACACCAATGGACAGATCATCCAAACGGAAAATTACTAAGGAAACACAAGCTTTAAATGACACAATAGACCAGATAGATTTAATTGATATTTATAGGACATTCCATCCAAAAAGAGCAGATTACACTTTCTTCTCAAGTGCACATGGAACATTCTCCAGGATAGATCACATCTTGAATCACAAATCAAGGCTCAGTAAATTTAAGAAAATTGAAATCATATCAAGCATCTTTTCTGACCACAACGCTATGAGATCAGAAATCAATTACAGGGAAAAAAATGTAAAAAACACAAACACCTGGAGGCTAAACAATACATTACTAAATAACCGAGAGATCACTGAAGAAATCAAAGAGGAAATCAAAAAATACCTAGAGACAAATGACAATGAAAACATGATGATCCAGAACTGATGGGATGCAGAAAAAGCTGTTCTAAGAGGGAAGTTTATAGCAATACAAGCCTACCTCAAGAAACAAGAAAGATCTCAAATAAACAATCTAACGTTACACCTAAAGGAACTAGAGAAAGAAGAACAAACAAAACCCAAAGTTAGTACAAGGAAAGAAATCATAAAGAGCAGAAATAAATGAAATAGAAACAGAGGAAATAACAGCAAAGATCAATACAACTAAAAGCTGGTTCTTTGAGAAGATAAACAAAATTGATAAACCATTAGCCAGGCTCATCAAGAAAAAGAGGGAGAGGACTCAAATCAATAAAATTAGAAATGAAAAAGGAGAAGTCGCCACTGACACCACAGAAATACAAAGCATCCTAAGAGACTACTACAAGCAACTCTATGCCAATAAAACCTGGAAGAGGGGGCTTCCCTGGTGGCGCAGTGGTTGAGAGTCTGCCTGCCGATGCAGGGCACATGGGTTCGTGCCCTGGTCCAGGAAGATCCCACATGCCGCGGAGCGGCTGGGCCCGTGAGCCATGGCCATT